AGGGCCCTTATTTTACTTTTAATGTGACCCCTAGAAAGTTGAGAAGTATGTAGATAATTCTCATTATGTTTCTTTTGAGAAGTACCTGATAAACAATACTCTTAAATAAATTATTATGTCATCTTCAAAATGAAAAAGAATATGGAATTTCCTTAATTTCTTCAGTTATTTTGTTCACATTTTACTGATCAGTTGTCCATTCACAACTTGCCCTTTAGTCAGTGCTAGTAGTTTTACTTAAATATATTTTTAATACCTTTTAAAGCATTCTCATGTGCTATTATTCAGTCTTTAGTCCATCCTTGGGAGAAGGCATTTTAGATAGTATTTAGAGCTATATATGATGTTCTGCATTGGGAAATTATTAAGCATTCCAAAACCTTTTACTTTTACTTACTGACTTAAAATATGTGTCCATTTTGGACAGATGAACCGCGAAGGAGAAAAAGTTTGGTAATTCTCAGCCCCTTTTACAACAGTCAAATCTTGGTTCTTTCACAGGAACTTTGAACCTTTTATTTATATTATTCCTATAACATGTTACATGTACCCCTCACTCTAAATTAATTCCTTCACTTAAGTCCAAGTTTAGTGTGAACATCTGACTTTTAAAATAAAAATTACATATTTCTTTTCCTATTAGTAATCTCTCCCCTGCAATATGTATTAGCTGCCACTAGGTGGTACTAGGGAGTAGGGACAGAGACCTGAGACAGCTGGACTGAGAGAAGGCAGAGTCTGCTGCTGAATCTTTTTGTATAAAAACAGGATATTTCAGTTCGGCGGAATCCTAGTTTAAACAACAATTGACTCTAGATTAAACTAAGCCACGAAGACACAGAGAAGTTTCACTAAAATGAACAGGAAACAAAATCATGTTGATAGGCAGGTATCCTCCTAACCAAGTCAGCTAACTATTTCTAAGATTCCATTTATTATGTGGCGTTTTCTAGCTGAATATCATTTGCTAGCAACTGGAACAGGACCTTCATGATCTCCTAGATTTTTCTGAGCCATGGGCAGCTTGACTTTGAGCAATTTCATATACAGCCAACTATCATTGCTTTACCCATCTTCTTTCGTATTTGTATATTTCTTTTTTTCTGCAAAAAGTATTTACTTTGCTCCTACTTTTCTCCAATATGGACTTTTAAAAAATATAACAAGGAATTTTAAGGACTTTAAATTACGTTAACTAAAAAAAACATTTTATAAATGGTTATAAATGTAAATCTGTATGTATGTAACTATGCATATAAATATGTATGCTTTTCCTTCTAGCAACCTGGGAGAAGAGTGCGATGATGCAGACCTTTTAAGTGGAGATGGTTGTTCAAGGACATGTAAAATAGAGGAAGGCTTCCGCTGTGTAGGTGAGTTTAGGTGCACCTTCTAGGCTTATATTCTAATTGTAGAGGTGTTTTCCTGTCATAGTTTTGTGATCTCTTGGTATCCTCTAACTTGGCTTAGAGATGATAATACCTACCACAACAATAATAGTAGTAGTACTGGTAATGACCATGATATTTGACATGTCTTTTATGAGTCAGGCACTGTCTGAATGGTTTCACATATATTGTCTGATTTAACCCATATAATTATGAAGAGACTAAAATGAGGTAGAAAGAAATAATTTGCTTTTTCTTATCCAGAAATACTGAAGTCATTATGTCATCTACTCAACACAGTCAACAAGAAAGCTTTTATACTCTTTTGATTTAGAAAGTGGTAGGATTTTGTTATTCGGCCAATACTTTGATATTAAACATGAGGCACTATAGCTTCGTGTTTCTAATCTTGACTTTAACACTTCTAGTAAAGAGGAAAAAGTTGTTTTGCTCTGTGTGCTTCACTTTAGCCTCTTCATCCTTCTTATAGAGGTTGAGAATTATTCTCTCTGCCTCATTTTAGTCTCTCCATAATTATATAGGTTAAATCAGACAATACATGAAAACTATTAAACAGTGAATTCTAAACAGCACTGCATTTTATTGTATTTAAATCCCAAGATAAAGTAAGATATGATTATAATACATGGAATTTATTAAGATGTGAAATACTGTATAGAACACACAAATGCCTTGATTCTGTAGAGCAGAATCACACAGTTGTAAAATCTTAGTTGTCCATCCATCCAAGTAACAAAACATACTCAATGCCCATGGGTGTGCCAAGATTAATAAAGACCCTGGTCCTTCTTGTGTACAATCTAGCAGTGAATTGAGAGTCCAGTTTCTTTCCCTTAGAGAAATCTCTACTCCAATTCCTCCAAAATCTCTTCTCCGATGGACTCTAGACCGTTGCGTATAAAAATGGCCTTGTCTCTAATGAAATCCTCACCCCTCTTCTGGTTTGGAAACTGAGGCTCAGAGCATTTTAGTGACTCATCCATGGACATAAAACAAGGTCTTGGCAAAGCCAATACTGGACTTAAGGTCTCCAACTGCTTAATCAAGTACTTTTTCCTTGCTTGAAACTAGAGAGGATACATTCTTTTCCTGTTTTATTTGACTACCATTCAGATATTTGAAATTCCTCCCCATTATTCTCCTTTTCAATCCAAACATCCCCTCATGTGATTAGGTTTCCAGACCCTTCCTATTTGCCCTGACTTGGCATGCTTCGTGTGGTCAATGCCCAGCAAAGAATTCAATACCCCAGATGTGGTCTGGCTGTGTAGAAGACTTTGAAACGATTACCTCTTCTCGTTCATATGCAAGTATTTGTTAATACCAGCTTTGTTTGCATCATTTCTTATTGATAGCACATAGTGGGCTCATACTGTATACCAATCACATACACACATTCTCCACATATGGCTTTCTCCAATGGAGTGCAATTCTCATTTAATTTAGGAGCAGATCTTGCTTTGTTTCTATCACATGTGATCCTTTTATATTTGGCTCATTTTTCCTTAGTCTCTAACTCCAATAAGAATATGTCTAAGTTACTTTTGTTTAATCCTGTTGACTTGTACAGATTTAGACATCTATTTCAATGGACAGTAAGTTTACAGTTCACTAAACAGATAGCTCTATTCCATTATCTCTCAAAAGATTATGCTTTAAGAAACCATTGTGAAATGTGTTTTGCAAATGGTCTTTTATTTTTAGATGGATTTGAAAAAATGGAGGTAAGCAATTTTAAAGCCATGAGAGATAAGAAACAGTTCTTGGTAATAAATACAAAAACAAAACAGGCACTTATATATGTCATAAACATCATGTGTATTATCATATATGCTAAATACATATCCATGTGCACAGGCATGCATGTATAAAACATAAAAAATCGTAAGTGTATATATACCCATTTTATTGGTGAAAAAGAAAGTTTTCACAGGAAAGTCAAAATACACATATATTGGTGTATGAGGGTGTGATTTGGGTAAAAAAGAATTGTGTAGTTAAATAAAACAGACAAAATGTAATGATGTTCCTGATTATCTGCCTTTTGTTTATTTTTTTTTCTTCATGCATATATTTTAGAGCATTATTCATTGTTGTACAGTTTGCTTTCTTATCTCAAGTGTAGCCCCCATAAAATTCCCACCACTGGTGTTGACTTATTTTGAATCTTGATCTTATTTTCACGTGCGGTTGTTTTAAGTAGAAATGAGAAATTAGAATTGTGCTGGTTATACTAGTTGTCCCACATTTTAGTAGAAAATGAAACAACTTAATAGATGGGCTTTATAACTGCATTTCCACTTTCTGCATTTGAAGAAATCGTCATTACTGTTCACTTAGTAGGAGTTATCCTTAAAGGAATAGAGTGCTAGCTAGTCCAGAGTCGATAAGCCTGCTTCCCAATCTCAAGTGTTTTTAAGCATTCACTTCTCACTTACTGGTTCTTGAAAACAGTTCCTATGTCTCCACTCGAGGCAATGTGGACTAGTAGAGAGTTCCGACCCTGCTTCCTATCAGCCTGACTGAAAACCAGACTTATGACTTATGAGTCTAGGGATCTTTGGCATGTCACTTAAAATCACTGGGGCTCAAGTTTCTTATTTATGAAACAAACAAAAAACACAAAATCACACAGTCATAAGACAAAAAAGAAATAATATGTATGCAACCCTTATAAATCTGGAGCCATGTAGTCCAGATTTACAGGGGTTGTACACTTGAGGAAACAAAAAATACAACAACAAAAATAATTGAAAACAAATTCCTTAAATACCGTTGCATTTCAGAGACTTGGAAGGATATCCAACTGCACAGCACATCATATTGTTACAGGGTAACCCAGAGTGAACTTGGGCTGCCAGTCTGTGGTTCCTCACCTGAGCTCTTAAAGTGTAATTTTCTACAGACACACACCAAAGGGTAATGAGTTTATTTACAAAAAGGAGAAAGGAAAAAGAACAACCTAGGGAAAGAGAAAGGGACATAAAGTAACTGGAATATCTTACCAGCTGGCTAACTTGGAGCTCTAATCATTGGTCTGAGAGCCATTGCTCCAAAGAGAGAGACCTGTTAGCTCTCCAGAGTGACAGTTGGAAAGCTGCTCTCTATTTATCCCCCAAAGTCCCCGAATGCCTGCTTAGCTCCACCCTTGGGTCCTCGCAGTTCTCTCCTTGGTACTGCTGGGAGTTGTAGTTTCCAATCACTGGAGTAGGGGTGGAATCCAGAAAGCTGGAGTAGGGGGTGGAGTCCACAAAACTCTGCATCCTTTTCCTTAACAATATCACTTATTTAAATTTACTTTCTTCTTTTACCTTCCTTATTCCTTTTACTTCCTTATATCCTTAACATCCCCTAAATATCTGGTTCAACTCTTCCTTAAAGTTTCTTTGCAGAGCCAGGTGCGTTTTTCTCCACTTTCTGTCCCTTTATTATATATATTTGCTCCATCAAAAGCAATTCATTTTTGTAGAGATATGTGTGTGTGTGTGCGCGTGTGTGTGTGTATCTGCTTATCTGGGACAGGCATTAATCTAGCTGGCAAGTACAGGATTCTCTGTGTTGTACTGGACAATAAGCTTAATTACTTTCATGTTATATATATGTGTGTATATATATATATGCACTCACACATATACATAACATGAAAGAATACATACATACATACATACACACACACCTGCAGACGCACACTTTTTCTAATATCATACAATATTTCTTGGCAGGGGAGCCAAGCCTGTGCTACATATATGAGGGAGATGGGATATGCGAGCCTTTTGAGAAGGAAACCAACATCAAAGACTGTGGCCTCTATACTCCTAAAGGATACCTGGACCAGTGGGCTACCCAGGCTTACTCTTCTCATGAAGACAAGAAGTGTCCTGTTTCCTTGGTAACTGGAGAACCTCATTCCATGGTAAGTGAGAAGAATAGAATTATGAGAAAAACTGTGAAGTTGTTCTGCCAAATGCTGATGAGAACATTCCTTTTGCTTGATGGGAACTTGATTTCCTGACTTGGGCATCAAGTTTAGTCTTTACTGAACTTAGAATAAGATGTTAAATGGAAAGTTTCTAAGTCAGCATTTAAATCATCTACCCTTAGTCCACTTAACATCACTAATTTTTATCTAGCTTTGGCTATGCACTAGCTGACTCCAATGCATACAAAAGCACATTAAAATAAACCTTATAAAAACAAATATCAGAAGTTGCATTTAGACTCTGTATTTAGGGAATTTATTTTAAAAGAAGAAAAAGAAACAAAGAATCAGAATGGATTACAGTGCTGTATCCATTAGTATTAATATTATTATTAATAAGTGAGGTATGACTAGTTGCTTAACCTCTCTCCCAGTTTTCTCATATGTAAAATATGTACAGTAATATCTTTTGCATTTAACTCTATGGTTTACTATAAGGATCAAATCAGATGTAAACTATATATTAAACATGAATGTCTAATTTGACTTGAGACATTCTTACTATTGAAGAAATTCTAAACTTAGTACAGAAAAACATACTCAGGAAAACAATTTTTTCCTGAATATCCACCTACATGAATAGAAGATCCTCTGAGGACTCTGAGGCTTGATTTCTATGAATTATAGTTGAATATTGAAAAGAAGATTAAAGACTAGCTCTTGGGTACATTTCCAGATGTTTCCATTGCCAGATAAGTTCTTTCATCCATCATAACAATAGGCAACAAAGTCCTTTCAACAGAAGTGAGATTTAGTTCTCTAGATATTTTAGGTCAGGATGAAATCATTGGATCTAGCTTGAGGAGACATCCCCAAGAGGTTGAGGAACCACCCAGGGTTGGTGATAAAATTCAAGGAACATGTCAAAGACCAGGTGTCCTAGATTCCAGCTCTTTCCATTCCTGGCTTGCAGTTTTTTTCCTCTTGTTAATAACTTGAGTGCTGCCACTGTAGGCATGAAGTCAGCACTTCAAGCAGGAAGAAAAGGGAAGACCAAAGGAAAATAAGTGAAAGCCAGCTAGCTGTGTTCCCCCTTTTTTATTGGGGAAATGGCTGCCTTTCTGAAAGTTCAATACCAAAGACTAAGGCCAACATTTTATGAAGAGATCTAGGCCAGTGCATCACTTTAGTTGTAAAGGAACTTGGGAAGATGGGACCTAGAGACACTGTCCCTTCAAAGAAAATTAGATTTTATCATTAAGGAAGTCTGGGGAATGGATATGGGTAGGCAACTAGCCATATCTGCCACACTCCCGTGGTCTAATTCTGGCATCGTCCCCCAGAATTCTGATGCCCACTGACAGAAAGCCAAGAAAGTTGGGAGATTTTAAGTCAGAGACATCTCTCTGATGTGGCTTTTAGTCTAGTCTGTCTGTCTTCCTTAAGTGAAGTGCAAGACATTTCCTGGAGTTCCTATTCCCTCATGGTTCCCTGATTCAGTCACCTCACTCCTTAGACTTCCCGGCTAATCCTAAAACAGTTGCCTGAAATCTGTCAGGACTCTTCCTTGTGCAAGATCCTGGGTCGACAGTGGGATGAAAGTTTCCATGTGTGTTTTGCTGCCCTGGCAAGTGATATCTTGAGACTAGCAGAGAGCTTTGAGACATTTGTGTATGGAGAAAAGTTTTCTGCCAGTAATGCAATGATGGGACACTCCAAAAGAGAGGAAACCTTTGGTTTTATGTTGGAGAACTTCACTGCCTTTACCTATCTCTCACCCTTAAATTTTCATTGATTTTCTTTTTAGATTTGCACGTCATACCATCCAGACTTACTGGAGCATGACCCCCTCACTGGCTGGTTCCCCTGTGTCACCAGTGGACATAGACCTCAGGATGAAGGAAGTGAGCTGCCAGGAGGCAGTTTGGAGAGCAAATCTGAGGTTTGGCTCAAAGTAAGTGGCCCAAATCTTTTTGTTGTGTTGTTGAGACTATAGATAAATTCTCTTTCTCTCTCTTTCTCTCTCTCTCTCTCTCTCTCTCTCTCTCTCTCTCTCTCTCT